CTCCTGAATAGTTTTATACAATTTTTATAGGCGTGGCATTCGATTTTTGTATGTTATAACGATAGAAATTCGCACGCGCATTCTACGGATGGCCCAGCAACACCTGTACAAAAATGGAAAAGTTCGGCCTACATAAAATTTATTATGTGCAATATATAAAAAATTGAATAAAACAATGACTAAAACACAATACTCCAGAAGGGGGAAGAGAAAATATCAAAAAACAATGTGCGAGTAAGAACAGGAAATTGTATGTGTTTTTTTTAGTTACGGTGCAAAATACAAAATGGAAAATATTCAAAAAATATAACTACTTTAGACTGTTTTTCTAAGAAAAGAAAAGTCATGTCTTTATCTCTTTACATTGGAGTTATACGAGCTGAACTTGTAGAAACGTTTACGTGAATTTTTTTCCTTGAAGTAAGAAATTGCAAAAATGGCGATTCCAACCGCTATCAACATGCCAAACAATAGAATGAAAAAGATTTTCGCATTCGACATACTTGACTTCGGATCATCCTTATGTTCTCGAGGCGGTTCAAATGTTCTAGCGTCAGGTATAATATTTGCACGAGCCATTATTATCTCGGGCCGTAATTATAAAAATTTTATTTCTCGAGCAAAATGAAACTTAGTTGTTACATACCGTTACATTTGAGTCTAGATCATAAAATTTAAAACTAAATATATCATGATTGTCCGATAAATCATCGGAAGTAGCCGAGAGACTGAAGAAATAGCTCGTAGTTAATTCTACATTGTTAACGACAAAGCAGTTCTTCCATTCGTCACGGTTCATATCGGTCAACATAGATAAAATGTTATTTTTGTAGCGTATACTGATGTACGTGTCAAAACTGTAATTACGAAAGCGTACTTCGCAACCGGCTAATTGGGTATTTGTTCCATTACGGTCGCGATCACAGCTTCAAGTGGAGTTGTTAACCATTGCACTTAAATATGGACGTTGGTGCTGAAAATCAAATTTAAAAGAAAAGATGACAATATGCTGGACGGTATAGTGTTTCCATACATTGTGAGGAATTAATACAACCTATATAAAACGAAGAGAATCTCTGAAATAATGAAGGTATAAAAACTTACATTATGAGGTCCATTGTGATTACTGTAAGTGTCTAATATAACTACTAGACTGGAAAAATGATCTTTAGTACCGAAAACTGGCCCCTGTGTGGTAAACCCTGCAAGCATTCTTTAACATTAGCGTCAAATTCTCGATTATCGAGTCCGTAAGCCCATAATACAACTTGAGCTACTTGTATACGCATTATTTCCGCGACATCTTAAAGCAACGAAGAGGCCAACAATTCTGGCGCAGCGTTTAGTAAATCATGTAACCACAAAAGATTTGATTCGCTTGCAAAAAAACAAAAGGATTTCCAACTCAACTCTATGAATAAAATAAAAAAAAAGAGATAATACATCTTTTGGCTTCCACACTGCGTTTAACAAATTGTACGTATTGACATAATTCATTATTATCTGATTCTTCGTAGTTACTGATAATGTAGCGTTTGAGCTTGTTCAGGTATTTTACATCACCGGAAGCACAGACGGCACCGACAGAATAGCACAAGCATAAGCGTAAATAATCTAGTATCTGGCAAAGAAGTAAAGAAGAAATATATTAGAGCAACACACTTTTTCTATCGTTATCTCATTTACCTCTTCGTAGGTATCTAAAGTAATCTGATTCAAAGCGGTTAATCGAGTTTGACGGCGGGATGAAACAAAAACTATGGTGGGCTCCGTTGGCGAATAAGAGGCCATCCGTGGACAGTAATGTTTGCCTGCAAATAAATGGTTAAAGAAAAGGCAGAAAAGTTATTCAATTCGGTTTAATTACCAGAAAAACCCATTTATATGCACTTCCAAAGGAACCGGTCTTACGGAAGGTTTAAAATTACATAACCTCATTTCCTTAATATCCAGCCAATTGGCGAGATCCTGAGCGTTGGCCAAAGCAGTAGATAAACCAATGATACAGATATTACATCCGGTGTGTGACGTAATGAAATTCGTACCTGACACAATTACTTCAATGTGTCTGTCTTCTCCAGTAAATGTATTTCGTCTATAACAATTAGTACAACATCCTGTACATATTCTCTTCTCTGTCAAGATCGGCTGATACCATCCCATTTTTCTGGTGTGGTAACTATCAGTTGAGAATCCAATCGCTAATTCTTTCCTTAACCAAAGCTTTCAAAGGCGCAATATAAACAACTTTAGCTCTTTCATAATTATTGAGTGTTCGAAGTATGGAGATTTCCGCCACTATAGTTTTACATGAACCTGCGGGTGCGCCCAGCAAAACGTTATTATCAGTATGATAAAGACAATGAAAGACTTGAGTTTGTATAGGATAGAAATGCGAAAAATTATATAAAGATTCATAGACTGGATTTCTCAGAGCACTAACAGCTATAGGTTAATGGAGTCCACATATTAGTACCCAGCTAAGTGTCACTCGCTATTCGTATATAATATTTTGGCGGTAAAGGCTCTTTGAGAGGTATTGTCATCCCCAGTTTTTGTGGTTTTTGACTGTAGACAAATTTGCGCGTGGCCTAAAAAGTGTATTTTAACATGAAGAAAGCACATAAACAGAAATTATTTATTTTTGTAGTAGAATTGTAATTGCGGATTGGTAAAAAAAGCTGGAACAATTCAGAATGAAAGATAAAATTGGAATCAGGATCTTCAATCCATAAGGAAACATTTCGACTTGTTTTACCATGTACCCGATCATTCCAAACAAAGTTTGGTCATATATTGATTTTCATTCGTAATACTGTACGTGTTATGGGCTGCAAAGTGGCATCAACATTGAGCATGGGCAGTTCTTTGGCTGCACGTAAGCACGAACCCGAGAAAATTTCTCCGGTGCAGCTCACTTCTGCTGCATGATCCTGATCTTCGGAAAAAAGGAATTCGTCTCACTTTGTTGCCTGTAGACGCATGCCTATATTCTTTGCGAGCATGTGCTGTTTCATGACCGCGTAGAAGATCTCGTACCCTTTCTGAAAAGCTTCATGGACAGATTCTGTTGGAAAGGACGGTTTAAATTATTTCGAGGTCCACGTTAAGCTGTTTAGTTTATTTCTGGCAACCTTGTGACCTAGTTTCACATAACTGAGGGCGTCTTCGTTCAGCGTGAATTCCTCTAAACATATTTCGCATTGCAGCTGCTCGCGAATGTAGCGTGCTATTCCACATCTTGAGAGCAGCCTCAGGAACTCTTCAAGTTTTCGGCTTAACCGCTGAATGGACAGATGTTCGAATATTTCACCATCAGGGGCGAACAGTACAAATTTGTTTTCTTCATTGGGCGGCGCTTTAAGGTCGTAGCTCAGTTTATCGATGAGCAGGTAATCGTTCTTCTCTTCGATTGCTTCTGACCAACATTCCTCCTGTACGGTCCTTAGTCTTTTGATCAGCGTCATTATTTCTACGAACGATCGGCACCTCCTGTTGCTATTGTTGGTTGCCATGTTGCTGAAAAATCTTTCCAACAGATCATGGCTTACCCTGTATGGCGCGAAGTTTACGCCAGGGTAAGTCTCCAGCAGCTCTTCCATGATTGCTAGGAAGTTCGTGATTGTTGTTTGGATGTCCAGAGCTAGGCGGTCCCCAATAAAGTCGCTCTGCAAGTACGCTCTGCAAGTTACGTCTTTTAGTTCTTTTTTCAGCTCTGTCCATGTGTCGCTGCTGATGGTTTCCCGATGGAAGACTTTTACGAACTTCATAATTATCGTGGTTAAGTCGCAGACTGCTTGCGCTTTTCCGTCATTGTGTTCGATTTCTTCGTTGTCGAATGCCGCTTGGAGTGTTGCGACGTGCGCATCGCTCGTCGTCTACATCGAAATGGGTAACCCCCATGCCTTGCTGTAGGCCGGCATGCAGCCTCTCCGTTGCCAGTAAGAAGAACGTTTGGGCCCCTATTTTTTTTAAAAATTGATTTCACTATATGGGGATAATCGTGCAAAAGCCGCATGCAGAATTCGTAGCAAGGGTTTATCGTGGGTTCCTGCCTGAAAGGCTTAACCCCACCGTGGGGTCCAAGCCACTTTAAGCGTACTACGCCCCCTGGCGAGTTAGACGATCCCCACAGAGTAGGGGCCTAAACAACACCAGAGTCCAGAACGGTTTATTGTGTATGGAACAATAAACCCCACTCTGGTCAGTGGTGAGGCACAGCTGCACTCAAATTGTTTCACTTTGGCTAGGAACTTGCCAACCACAACCACCACGAGTACTCCCCGAAGGGCCCCACCCAAGCAGTCAGGACTCACAAATTGATCAACGATATGCGTTCAAAAAGGGTAAAAATTGCGCTCGCTTCCGCCATAAGGCTTCCACGGCGCCGTTGATCAATTACCACCATTACCCGCAGGCATCCGTGACATATGTTCAAAAGTAAAAATAAGGCAAAAGGGGAAAAAGCCTTTCCGTCAAATCCCTTTTTTAATTTTGCCGGATACAATGTGTGCTGCCGTCTGCCCGCTTTCTATTGTATACGTTGTTTGCAAATATTCGGGTATGCTGTATGTTTGCCCGATTTCGGTCGCAGACGACAGCTCTCATGTCCAGCCCCATCTCTTCAGCCGCTTTGATCGGCTTCCAAGATCGGCCCCATTTTTTTGTGACTTGTTGTGCGGGGATAGCTGTTCGGCACTACGTTGAATGGAGTGAGAAGACTACGTGTTGCGAAGACCAGCACGCTTTGGTGTTCCATTGTCTTCGTTTTCCTTTGGTTGGAATGGTCGCAACCCCGCAGCGCGTCATCTGTTCGCGAGTACACCGTCGCGTGGTTGGTGTACACCTCGTCAAAATGGATCTGTCCAATTCTGTCTTTTTCGCTGAGTTGA